GGAGCCAAATGCAACCCCATCACTGGAGCCTGTGTCTGCACCGATGGCTACCAGGGGTGGCGCTGTGAGGAGACCTGCGACGCCGGCTTCTTTGGTAAAGACTGCATGCTGGAGTGCCGGTGTGTCAACGGCGCCACCTGTCACCATCAGACTGGCAAGTGTCTGTGTGCCCCAGGATACACAGGAGCCCTGTGAGTCACTGTTAATTAGTTAGTTTCTGGTGCAGTTATTGGATTTTACACCTGTTGTTCATTACAACAGTGAACAGTAACACACTCCACATACTGTAGGACCTACATCAGAAATGCTCTTCTGTGCAGGTGACATGTTTTGCAGGATATACAATTGGACACACCTCCGCTGGCCACTAGGAGGCCATCGGAGCTGAGCTTCAACAGCGTTTATTACACTTCTTTACTAGGGTACAAATGAGTGGAAACTCTCGGCAGACAGATCTGTGACAAACAGCTGATTCTGAGTTCTTTGTCTCCTCCAGCTGTGAGGACACATGTCCTCCAGGGAAACATGGCTCCCAGTGCCAACAGCTCTGTCCCTGTCAAAACGAAGGGACGTGTCATCACGTGACCGGACGCTGCTCCTGCCCTGCTGGCTGGATGGTACAGTACATACAGTACAGATATGTATGGAAGTTGGTCTGATTCTCACTGAACTTATAACGCAGCAAATAATGTCCAATAATAGAGGTTAGCGATATTAGCATAACACCTGATAACGCAATGCGTAGGTTTCGCCCAAAAGATAACCGAAAAATAGTTTTGAAGTGAAAGTGAAGTATTGTCATTGTGACACAGCACACCACTGCACACAGTTTTTCTTGCCCAAACGGCTAAAAAAAATTAAGTGTTTTAACAATATCAGGTTATCTGAACAATATCGGGTTATCTGATATCAGCAAGTTAATGTCAGACATCGCTAGTAAATAATGTCATAAATATTAATAAATCATTGTTGATATCAGCAAAAAGTTCATATCAGACATTGCTAGTAAATAATGTTGTCATAAATATTAATAAATCATTGTTATGTTTCTGACATAGATTACTATTTTATGGTCATTCATTTTGGTTTCGTTCACCTGTGTGATTTCATGCGTGTGTTTGTCAAACCTCAGGGACCAGTGTGCACGCAGCCGTGTGCGTTTGGATCGTTCGGCATCAACTGCTCAGATGAGTGCACGTGTCATAACGGCGGACTGTGTGATCACATCAGCGGTCAGTGCCAGTGCACTGCAGGCTACATCGGAGAGAGGTACGTCATCACGGTATATAAATAAAACATTTAATATTCAGGTTGAAACCAATCAGACCATCTCAGCTCACACTTGATCTTAACACAGACTTTTGGCCGGTCTGTAGCAGCGGCAGTGGTTTCTGGTCTGTGGAACAGTTGATAACTCCAGGATTAAAGGTTAAGGTGAAGGTTGAGTTTTATTGATCCTGCACTCTGGAAATCATTGTGTTGCAGCAGCAGAGGGGACAGAGGCAAGGACCGAACTATAAAGAATTTACAAATTACTACATCCAGGTCTAGAAGACGCCAAGATATAAAGACCAGAAAAAGAATGGAATACAGCGTAGGATAAAGCAGTAGGATACCGCTTTACCTGACAGGTATCGCACATGAGCAGAATAATATTGTACTATAATCCTTAATACAAGACTGTAGTGTGATAGGAGAAGATGAGAAAGGGTGTGGGGAAAATGTGTGTTTCAGAGAGAGAGAGAGCGGTGGGAAAAAAAAGAACAAACAAAGAGAAGACAAAAACAGAATCATTATAGAGAAATCCACAACAGTTGTCTGTTCCAGTTTATAAACAAATATAAATGTTCTCTGTCACCAGGCTAACAGCACACAAATGTTCTAACATATTTTTCTAACGAGCTGCCAATTACAAAACATCCAGGCTCACTAACAGCTTCTCCCCTCACTCCATAAGACTGTTGAATACATCCTCATAATAAGGACTAAAGATACTGCTGCTGCTGCTACTCTGTCATACTGCTGCTAATTACTAGTACTATACCTGTGCAATACTTGAAATTATTAACCTGTAAATTATTACTGCTACTAATTTTTTGTGTTAATATTTTCTATTTTATTATATTGATAGTGTGTTTTATTTTACTACACACATTTATTTTTTACTGCATAAAATGCCTTCCATTCTGGCTACTATACGAGCCAATTGCAACTTCATTGTGATGTAAATCTAAATGACAACAAAGCAAGTCTAAGTGTAAGTGCTTCTTAAGTCATTTTTCATCATTGACCTTCTGACCTGTCTTGAACCGGGGTGAGTTAGTCCAGGCAGCCTGGAGCTCCTCCCACCCACCCAGCGTCTGATGGATACATGTGGAGAACTGTTTCAGACGAGTGTGGTTGTCGTCTCTTCTGTTGGTCTTTACAAACCTACGTGTGTGGAATGACGCTCATTAAACCCACGTCTCAGTAACCTTCAGCTTCAGAAAGGTCTCAAGGCAATTTGATTGACCTCCGAATAATGTTGGCGTGTGCAGGGTCACAGTGTGCGAGAGGAAATGAAGGGCACGCTGGGAAATCTGTGTGATGATGCAACACAGTCCTTCGTTCTTTTCATGCCTTCATTTTACTAGTTATTAGTTTTTATTCACTGTTTTTTATGTATAAAAAAACACGTGTGTTTCATTTTAAGACAGTTTCAAGTTTCAAAGCCCTTCAAACAACATCCAGAGAACAAAGACTTCTCTCCACTGTGTGTTTTTGTTACTTTACATCTTTTTGGTGTTTTTTTTTCTCCCAGGTGTCAGGATGAATGTCCCGTTGGCACCTACGGGCCACAGTGCGCCCACAAGTGCGACTGTCAGAACGGAGCCAAATGTTACCACATCAACGGGGCATGTCTCTGTAACGACGGCTTCAAAGGACCGAGCTGTGAAGACCGGTTCTGTCCCAGTGGCCTATATGGAGTCCTGTGTGATAAACAATGTCCCTGTATCGCTGAACTGGTGCTCAGGTACACACACACACACACACACAAGCAGACCTTTTTTAGACCTAGTGTATTCTACTGACCTTGATCTTAGCCTAAGCTAAGCTAATTGTAATTCTTAGTGAAAAACTCTTAATTTTCTTCAAACACTCGTCACTTATAGAGAAGAAATCACTCAACACACAGAAGTACACACTCTCACACACAAACCTATATTTTGTTTAAAAAAGAAACAAAGACGTGACTTCACCTCCACTGTTTCATTGTCCTGAAAATGTTTTTTGATGACTTTGTTACACTCACAGTTGTCTCCTGTCTAATTCCTGCTTTCTTCCTATTGGTCAGGGGCAAACTATCAGACATCTATCAAATACAAACATCTGTCTGACAACTTTCTGACTCACCCCTTGTGTGTTTGCGTCCGTCTGATATTGTGATTCCACCCGCTCCCAGCTGCCACCCTCTGTCAGGGGAGTGCTCCTGCTCCTCAGGATGGACGGGTCTCTTCTGCAACGAGACGTGTCCGGCAGGTTACTACGGCAGTGGCTGCAAGGAGTTGTGTGTCTGTGCCAACGGAGCCGACTGTGACGGCACCACCGGAGCGTGTGTGTGTGCACCAGGATTTATGGTGAGAGGAGAACTGGTCCAGATTTAGTTTGTAAACATTTGAATTGAATTGAATTACTATATAAAACCTGATAATATGTATCTGTACATACCACTGTATGACTTGCTGCCACCTAGTGACTGGAGGCTTGTATATCGGCTGGCAAATATACAAAAGGAATTTTGGTTAGGTGACGTCATTTGAAGTGATGCTAATGTCAGAGTAAAGACTTTAAGGGGTCAACCAGGTCCTGGACTGTCACACGACCCTGAAGTTTAACAACTGGTTTGTTTTATCTGTTTTATTCCATAATTACTGTTGGTCTTTGTTCCTGTGGGAAACAAACCCCAGGAGTGGGTGATAAGGTTTTAATGAGAATCACATCACTGTTGTTGGTGCAGGGTTACTGTGAGTTAGGGGTTTGATTCCAGAATCTCACTTAGTCTCCGTAATCTGTGTCAAATATCCTACTTTATTCTCCAGCACACATGTTAGGGTCACCTGTGGGGTCAGGGCAGCTACAGCAGCAGAACCTGCTGACTGGTTGGCTGCTGCCAACGCCACACATTTGTTGACTTCATGAAAAATGCGAGGAGCAGGTGCAGAACCCTGATGTAGGTCAGCTAATGTCAGCACACGGTGTGTGTGTGTGTGTGTAGCAGCACATTTTCACAAATTGAGCACTGTTAGCATGTGTGTCCTCCACCTGTTGACTGTCAGTGGAACTGCAGTGTTTGTTGTCTGACGGAGGAACTTTTTTTGAGCATTTACCAAAAGTACTGTAGTTGTGACTTTTTTTCCACAAGTCACTCGTGGATTTTGTTCAACCACTTGCTGAAGTACTGATATATTCTCAGACCTTTTGTCTCAGTCCTGGTCAATTATTAATTTGCCTTGTGGTGGTGTTTGTGTTCAGGGTGATGACTGTTCCATCAGCTGTCCCTCAGGTCTTTATGGAATCAACTGCTCCCTGTCATGTTCCTGCCAAAACGAAATTTCCTGTTCACACCTTGACGGCTACTGCACCTGCAGAGAAGGTTTGTTTCCACTGACACTGGTTCAGACCATGGGTGTCAAACCTAGGAATTTGCTGGAAGATGTTTCTGAAGCGCTTCAAACCAGAAACCGTGTTCATTTGAATGTATTAATTATGCACAATATAATGCTTTAAAGATGTTGTATATTAACACCTTTCTCCGTTATCTAATCTTCACCAAACCATTATGTACACACTTTATCTGCAGATGGTGGTAATGGGTATATATACAGAGCTAACATTAGCTACAGCAGTTCTAGTACAGACACCACAGCTAATGCTGGCAAGAACAAGTCCTGGTACGGACACCAGATCAGGTGTAGATCTGCCTAATCCAGGTCCATCATACATTTCATACAGACTGTAGATAAATGTGGCGTAAATCCAGTCTGGCTCTCAGGCCTGAATGACAAACAACCAGTGTGAGGCCTCAGTGAGAGCTGTCCTCACTGAATGTCAGCATCTTTTTATTTATGTTCCACTGAACATCAAGAAGAACCAGTTTAATTAGGGGGAAGCACAAAACCAGAGACTCCAGAGGTTTGGACCTCCAGCCCATTAACTTTAATTTATTTTCCTTTTAAGCTTTTAAGAGTAAGACTTTTTAAAAACTAAAAGAAAACTTTCTGTTGTCAAGCAAACATTGGTGACTTTAACACCCAGAGGTCTGAAGGAGGAACCTGACATTCAGCTGTTAGAACGTAACAGAGTTCAGTCACATGGTTACACCAGACATGGAGGAAGATTGTTGTAACTTACCTTCTACAAAATTCGTCCTCTGAATCTGTGGTGAGTTCTGTCCTGTGTCTGATTCTCCACCTCTGTCTGTGTCAGGTTGGCAGGGTGTGGACTGTTCCATCCCGTGCCCCAGCGGTACATGGGGAAAGAACTGTAATCAGACCTGTCAATGCGCCAACAGGGCTGCGTGTGACCCAGTCAACGGTACCTGCACCTGTTCATCAGGCTGGAGAGGGGAATACTGTGACACACCTTGTCCTGTGAGTGGTCGCTGTTTACATTTGAGCTCAGTTCAGCTCAACACACAGGCAAAACTGTCGGCAGATAATTAATGTAATGGACAGAGATATCTGAGGAAGAAGAGGTGAAAGGAGTAGATAAGGTCAAAGGTGAACTTTTAGGTTCAGACAGTGGAAGAGTGGTTAGTGCTCTTGCCTTACTCTCTGTCAACCATTATAATGTTGTTGTTGTTGTTGTTAGGGCGGCTTATACGGGCTGGACTGCAGCCAACAATGCGACTGTGTCCACTCTGAAGGCTGTGATCCAGTGGACGGCTTCTGTCGCTGTCTCACAGGTTGGATGGGTGAGTTCAAAGGTCAAAAACGTAGATTTTGTGGAAAGTCGTCAACTGGTTTGTGGGGTATCGTTGTAAAACACAGGGTTAGTGAAGGCAGACTGTGGAAAATGATTCAGTAAAAAGAAATAAAGGTGGTGATGATCATCACCCACCAATGGGCAACACACCCACCAGTGGGCCACACACCTGCCCCACTTCCTGTATTTTTATCAACTTTTTCAGACCAGTTCTCAGTAACTACAGCACATGTCTGTGTGTTAAATGGCTGTTTTACACTTGAGTGTTTGAAACTTTTTGGTTTGTTTCATTGTAACAAGTCTAAAGAGTCTAAGTGGGACACAGAGGCCCAGAGTGAACAGTAAATCCAGGACTAATGTGTCTGCGATGCCTTCAAGTGAAAACTAAGACAGAAATTAGATATTTCTGAGAATCATTGTAATTAAACTGGGTCAGGATTTTTTTTTTGGTCTGAAATCTCATGTTTAATTATAAGTGAAGTTTCCTGAATGTTTACCCCCTCTACTTCACCCCCTCTCCCTCCCTCCGTCTCACTTCACATTATAATGAATAAGCCTGTGTTTCTCACCCACTTTCCAGCAGATGTGTTTTATTAATTGAGCTGTCTTTTTGTGTCCACACCCGTATTGTCTGCTTTCTGCATTTGTGGAAGTCTCTAATGAACTTCACGTATAAAACAGACGAAGATGGAGGGGAGTGTGTGTGTGTGGGGAGGGGGGGGTGTGCCTGCCTAAACCCCAGACAATGAGTGAATGATCAGATACTTTAGCATTTAATGCAGTTGCTCTTTGCACAAGATGTGAACGTGATGCATTTAGAAATATATATGTAATATTAATATAATATATATTTATATATATATCTTCTAACGCTGTGTCAGAAACAGAGAAGAGCAGCTGTGAGTGTGTGTGTGTGTGTGTGTGAGAGCATTGGATGAAGGATGGAGTAGACAGTGAACCAGGACAGTGGTCCAGCCTACACCTTAGTCTGGCTCTAGTTAATGGTCTACTACCAGGTAAATGGATGGTTGTGAGGCCCAGTAAAATAGGCCAAATCCTACAATGATCAGAGAAGTAAGAAACTTCCTGTTGATGTTTGGCTAAGAGGAAATGAGTTTGTTCTCACTGGATTCATTACATCACCAAACAATGTTACGATTTTCTAGATATTTAAGTGTATTTCAAGGCGGTATCTAAACATTTTTTGAAGTACTTTTGGTAGTACTTGGGTTCTCGTTTGTTATTTTATATAATTGTAATAATAAAAAAAATGACACTTCACCCAATCAACATTCACAACCATTCACACATTCTGGTCAATTTAGAGTAAACTTTAAATCAGGAGAAGCTCTCTAACCACTGTACCACCGTGCGGCCCATACAGCAGAATTAAACCCTGTTCTCTCCAAATTGAAACTCTTCTATTAGTGTCTATTAATGTTTTTAACGTGAGAACATTGTGTTAAAAGGACTTTGAAGAGAAGAGAGTTTTCAAACACACAACTGCTGATCACCACAGGAAAAAACACGGCCACAGTCGGACCCGGGTCAGACACTGTGCTGACCTATTTATAGGCTGGTGTAGAGAGTCCAACACTTTATCACTTTCTGTGTGTGTGTGTGTGTGTGTGTCCTGCAGGTGTCCACTGTGACAGTGTGTGTGTTGATGGACACTGGGGACCCAACTGCTCCTACAGCTGCACCTGTGAAAACGGAGGCTCCTGCTCCCCGGAGGACGGCACCTGCCTTTGTGCTCCTGGTTATCGTGGCACCAACTGTAGAAGAAGTATATACACACACACACACACCTTCTGAAACAGCTGATTATATATAATATGAACTTTTTTTCTCAGTACAAAAGCCAAAGCCACAAAAACTGATTGTTTCTAAAATGTTCTTCGGGGAAAACGGAGCTGATTTGTGTTCAGGTCCCAGTCGGATTACTGCTCCATGATCACTTCACTGACTGTAGGAATTATTTGCATTTTTCTCTTAATATCAGCCAGGTCTCTTTTCCATCTCCTCAGTGTTCCAGTCTGCGCTCTTCCTCACCAGTAACCTTCCTTCAGAGAATTATCTCCCTGTAGAATTCTGTCTGTTCTAAGTCTTTGGCTCCAGATCACAAGTTGTTTTATTCTGATTTCAAAATGCCTTAGTTTTAGCTCAGCAAGCCTCTAAAAGTGACTGCAGGGACTCCTCGGAAAGTATTCTGCAGTTATTTTGTAATAGTATTGTAGTACTGCAACTGTAGGTGCAGTAGCCTTTTGTTAATTTTAGATGTTTGAGTAACAAGTTCCTGACACACAGTGAGAAACAGAAGCTCCTTCTCAACAACATGAACAGTTTCTCAGCCATAAATGAAGCAGTTTATTTATTATTAGTATTTATTTATTTAGGCGTTTTAATTCATGTGACTTTCTAAATTCTATCTGCACGTTAAACTTGTTGAGAATTATCCTTTTTTTTTCCTGAACACTTGAAAAAGAGGGGCTGTAATAAATGTAGACCTGCCTAAAACCTTTTGCACACTCAGATTATCTCAGATAGTTTGACTTCTGTTTTTCACCACTGAGCCTCCATCAGAGCAGACCTTAATGTGGGAGGACGTGGAAGTGGTTTGACTGGTTGCAGCTGCTCCTCCTTCACACATTGTCCTCAGCTCAGCAGACGTGGTTGCGAGTGCGATCGCTGCAGTGGTCTGGTCTCTCATCTCTTTAACTGAGACTTGTTAAGAAAAGCTGTTAATGCAGATTATCCTAGACTCCTCTCTGTTCCTCTGTTCCTCTCAGCAGTTAATTAGTGAAACCATGTTTTTGGAGCGCTGGGATCAAACCGCCTACACCAGAATCAATTACAGTCAATGTTCGAGCCAGATAGGACAGACAGAGAAAGAGGAAGAGGAGGAGGAAGAGTCAACAAGTGAAACACATAGGTTTACACACATTTCCATTGCATTGAATAAGAGTTTGTGTGTGTGTGTGTGTTTGTGTGTGTACGTGTGTGTCATCTTCAGCCTGCTCTCCTGGTTTCTACGGACAGCGCTGCAGCCAGTCGTGTCCCCCCTGCGACCACAGTGACGGGGCATGTCATCATGTGACAGGTCACTGCCGATGTCTCTCCGGCTTCTCTGGCTCCCTCTGTAACCAAGGTCAGTGTCAGTGGTCGTCCACTGGTGTATAGTGGAGGAGGTCCATTTTTACTTTAAACGTTAGTGAAAGTCATTCTGACTTCAACTGCAAACAAAAGAGTTCTGAAATGCTTGACCCTAACTCTGTTTTCAGAATTTTAATCAAGCCTCAGTTAAACCTTAGTTTGTGGGTTAAATCACTGTGTCCTATTAGACAGCTGCATCACACCACCTTGTCACTGGGGGTCCCCGAGGCCCCTCCTCTCTACCATGTATACCACCTCCCTGGGCCAGATCATCTGCTCACATGGTTTCCCTTATTATCACTATGCTGATGATGCCCAACTGCTGTGTGATAACTTAATTCCGTTCTAACAGCCATTATTCTGCCCTGCAGACCCAGATCAGTTGATATCCTGTGAATTCCACCAATGTTCACTCATTATGACATCTATTATGAAGTCCCTCCACTTATGTAACTATTACCAGAGTGTGACTCCTCTCTGTTCAGCCGCTGTTGAAGTCAGAACAAGAACTTTGTGGATGTGCTTCATAAACACACTGGTATTTAACAGACTTAATGAGCAGAACTGGGACAGTGCTCTCTGGTAATTAGCTCTTCATTTCCCACTCATTACTGTCAGCTCACTGCATCACATGGTCTCAGAGAGACACATTCACACTCCCATTCACACCAATGCTAAGTTTTGAGTAAATGTTAACCTCATCTCTAATCTTCATGTTTGGCATTATAGTAGTATTAGCTGAGCCGAGTACCACTGTGATGTACTCCATGTATTATGTCTTTGTTTGTCTGATTTGGTGAATTTCCAGAGTACTGATTTTTCACTGATTCTCATTTCCTTTCTTTGACACTGTTTATACATTTAAAGTTTTCTTCTCATAACCAGTAATTATGAAAAATGTACCACAAACTTCACTCCATCTCTCTTGACTTTCAAAATAAAGTACTGGAATGAGGTACTAAATAAAATAAAATAGAATTAAAAAAACTTTCTGACAAAAAAATATTGAAAAATGAAATCCTCATTTTTACTTGTCATCTTCAAACCAATGAAAGTCTTGTTTCCTCCAGTGTGTCCTGTGGGCCGGTTCGGTGAGGCCTGTGCCCAGGAGTGTGTCTGCACCAACAACGGCACCTGTAGTCCCATCGACGGATCCTGCCACTGCTACCCTGGATGGATCGGCGCGGACTGCTCCAAACGTAAGACACGGCTCTGCTGTTTATTACTTATCCAAGATGGGAGCAAAGGTCATCAGTCCACGGGCTGTCACAGTAATTATCCAACCAACACTGAGCAGAGCCCCACCATCACTCTCAGTCTGTGCTGACTAATGAAGACTCTGACTGTCCAGACCCCTGTCACACCCTGTCTTCAGGCAGATGACGTACTCTTTGTCTCTGTCCGTGTGTGTGTGTGTCATTGGCAGCATGTCCTCAGGGCTCGTGGGGACCAGACTGCATTCACACATGTAATTGTCACAATGGAGCCCAATGCAGTGCCACAGATGGAGAATGTGACTGTGGCCCAGGATGGACCGGACTTTACTGCACTCAACGTTAGAAACACACACTTACACACACACTGTTGACAAAGATATGTGACATTTCCAATACCTTTATCATAACAAATATTACAGAATCTTAATCCTTAGCCTAAATCTAATAGTAGATTTCGTAATATAGTAACTTTGCAAAAACAGGTCCCCACAAGTATAGCTGCACCGGAGAAAAACATACACACAGTTAGTTAAATTGCAGCAGTGCTGCTTCGCATATTCGGCTCGACACTCCCATCTGGTGGCTGACGTTATAACTATAGTATAGTCCTCCACAGAAAAGAAAACTTTTGATATGAATTTTAATAGCAGTATTCGATTCCAAGTACAGCCTTCAGCTTCAAAATAAAAGAAAGTTCAATTTGCAGTTGTACTTGAAGAACAGTTTCACAGTACCTCCATGACCTTTATATTTGGTTTAATATTAGTCCTGTCATTTTACTACATTTAACTAAAATGTTCAGAGAGGAGTCCAGTTTGACATCAGAGGTGAGAACACTGTTGGTTCTCCTCCAGGTTGTCCCACAGGATTCTACGGAGCCCAGTGTTCTGAGGTCTGCCACTGTCAGAACGGTGCCGACTGTGACCACATCTCTGGACAGTGTTTGTGTCGAACTGGATTCATCGGACACAGCTGTGACCTCAGTGAGTGTGTGTTCTTCATCTGTGTTTCCATCAGAGAACTTCTTCTAAATATGAATAATTATTTTATTTGGAGTCTCAACTTGTTGTTTTGCTGATTTTCTTAAACAAATGTGTGAAGGATAATAAACGTGTTGTCCTCTGTCCACAGAGTGTCCAGCGGGGACGTTTGGCTACGGGTGCCAGCAGCTTTGTGAGTGCATGAACAACGCCACCTGTGACCATGTGACGGGAACCTGCTACTGCAGCATCGGCTTCAAAGGCATCCGCTGTGATCAGGGTGAGCGCTTGTGTGTGTAGTACAGTTCCCACTAATTTTGGATCCCTCTAGTGGTGTTTATGGGAAAATGATTCCCATTAAAATTGATTGAGTCGTGTGTGTTTGGGAGGAGGTGAATGTGTGTATATGATATGATGGTACAGCGGTTTTGTCTCCTTCTTCCTTTGTCACTTAAACCATAAAAGGTTGTTAATCAGTGACCTGACCTGCTCCTGTTCCCCTCAGCGGCTCTGATGATGGAGGAATTGAACCCCTACACTAAGATCAGCCCAGCACTGGCCTCAGATCAGCAGTCAGCTGGTGCCGTCCTGGGCATCGTCTTACTGCTGCTGCTCATCATGCTGATGCTCGGCCTCGTCGTCTGGTTCCGTTATCGTCAGAGACAAAAGGGTCGTCACATCCCGACCGTCACCTACACTCCAGCCCTGCACATCAACTCCACCGACTATTCACTCTCAGGTGAAGTAAAGTTTAACTTCAGGGCAGGAAGTCATCTTATGTTTAATCAATACTTGGAATTTACTCTCTTGAACACTTGCTGGATCCGGGATTCTAACTGGCAACTGTAGGACTACACATTATCTAATCCAGAAGTTTAATACCGTTCTGCAGTAGGTCCACAGGCCACCTGTTGAAGACCTCTGCTCTTGACATTTTTCTCCAACTCCAGCTGTGTTTTTATTTTCACCTCAGCACCTGTTGTCACCCCTGTTAATTCCAGGTGATGGCGCTGGTTCTTGTTTTCTTCCTGCTTGTCTGTCTCTGTTCCCACTCCTCTTCTCAGCTGGTCCAAATACTGTACATAAACAGTTGTGGCCCACATCTGGGTTTCAGCCCACACTGATGACCCTCTTTACTGGTCTGTGGTCACTGATCACTGCAACACTGTATATGACAGTAGTCGTC